TCATCCTTTTGGTGGCTAGAGGTTTGGCCACTGTTGCAGCTGTATGTATTTCAACTAGTGAAAATAATTGGAGACAGGTAAGACGTTTAATTAAAAGAGACTGGTACTGTTTTGATTGAAAAATATTTTCAGCTTCTTTTTTTTCTTTGTAGCTCATGGCTTTTAACCATTTCAGCATTTTTGAGATTGGGAATAGTGCTGGTGTATAATGCAACATTTGACATTAGTCTGGTGGGGAGAGCCATTTTTGGCCATTAAATATTGTGTTCTGATCAGCATTTGTACAGTACTTCTAACATGCAATTTTTTTAGGCTAAATGAAAAGAAAAACAAGTTGGGCTCATTAGCACCAAGTAACTTTCTTCAATTTATATTATACCATACTAATAAGGATGCAGCTTAACAGTTATCAAAACCTTTTTTTTTCCTGAACCACACTGAAAATGGGGGTCATTTCTAAGTCGATGCATGTCAACATATGAGAAGGTTGGGGTCATTTTAATAAAAGTGCATGAAAATGAACCGCAAAACTTGGTTAATGTACACCTCAGTTATATTGCTGTTTTTCATGTCCTGTGCTCATATATTGAAAGTAATTTTGAACAAAATTGTCGTGACATTTCCCACCAACTGGAAAATTATGGAGGTTCTTAGATTTTAGAAGTACTTTTTTGTATTTGGCAGACTGAGTGACCCTGGCATAATGACAGTGCTTTTTGAATTCTTTTCCTTGACGTGATGGTCGTTATTACTAGGCCTCAAGCTAGGGCAATGATCAAAGTAACTGTAGGGTTCAAAACGAGTGCCAGCCCGTGAGGCATGTTCTGGCACTTTTTAAACTCTAATAATACATTGGCTTGCTCATCTGTGACCAAGTCAGTATGTCTGCTGCATATGTAAAGCTTGAACAGCTCCTTTTTGTTGCTTTCCTTTCAAAAAAAGTAGATATTCGTGATTAAGCTTAGATTGTTGGCAAGGTTTTGAGAGAATTTCTTCTCTGTGTGTGTGTGTGTGTGTATCTGTACACGCAAGCTAACGTGTGTGTGTGTATCTGCACACGCAAGCTAACGTGTGTGTGTTAGAAGGGAGTATACCGATTTCTTTTTCCAATTGTGGACATCATGGAATGCGAAATAACAGCACTTTGTAACTAAGATTTTAAAATATTTTTGCATTCTGCCTAATTAAAACTTTTTAGAACTAGGAAGAAAATGAAACAATCTTTAACGGATGATGTCTTTGTGTTTAGGCCTGTCCAAATACTAGTACTGTATTTATAAACATTGTTTTTGTAGATAACATAGATAAATATACTAGTAATCAGAAACCTTACAAATGCACCTCTTACAAGTAAAAATCAACATAAATCTTGTAGATAATTCATATTGTCATTGGTCAAAAAAAAGGAGACCTTTTCTCCCTCATCACACTCGGGAAAGCTCACTCATGTTATTCCATCCATATCACGTTAACTTTGCTTCAGAATGGGAGGAGAATGGAGATAGAGCGAGTGGTATATGGATACCCTTTCATGCCCAAAGTGTTGTTCATTTCGAGTTGACTGGCAGTGTGTAACTGATGTGTTAATGCATATGTACGTCAGAGGTGTTAGACATCTTGGGAAGGCGTCGGCCATTGCAGGAGTTAACACAGTGGCGAGGTAAACAAGTGACCATCGGTGTTGATTTGGAGTTTGTTTTGATCTAGGCTTGGAGACAAACAGGTTTGCTTTAACAGCCATTAATGTCTTAGCTTTTCTTCCATTAGTTTTATTTTCTGAGCATGAAGGAATATGTTTGCAATGATCATGCAATAAGTATAGATATTTGTATATGTGACAATGTGCGAGCGCCACAGATCTTTGTTGATGGTGAAAAGTAAACAAATGCCAGGTAGTATTTGTTTGTTTTGAAGGGAATCCTCAGATCTTTAGACATGTGGTTATGTTGCTTTATGTTTAATATTATGTTTAAGATTAAAAATGATATAAAACAATTACGGCACACAGAAGCTGTTCCATCTCGTCTCACTTGAGTCCACCATGTACCTGGCTAGATGTTCACCAGTATGTCGCCCATGTTTGGCACAGGATACAGGTTGTGTGAAAGCAGATATGTCTGTGTCATGTGTCACTCGTACCTGTAGACTCTTGTTGGTTTCAGTTTACCTATAAACCAGTCTCCTGTGATTTACTCGTTTAGGGGTCATCCATTTTTGTCATCATTTTCACAAACTTGTCTACAAAGTGTTCAGAATAGGAGGGGTATGCCTTCTCAGTCTTCTGTACGCTTTTGAACAATAATAAAAAAGATGATCCTATTTGCTAATTTAATGGCATGGACACCTACCTCCCCTTCTACCCACCCACCCACTCATCCCCTGTTTGTGTCACTATTCTCATGATGTAATTACATCATCATGGCCTCAGTATTTATTTATTTATTTCATGACCACACCCATTCACATACCCAAACCCCATTATTTCATCTGGGGTAAATCACAGCAGTAAACCAGAAGACAGGTATTGATTTGAGACTGTGTCTTCATGATATTATCCATAGTTTTACCTGTAGGAAGATTATTCCACCACCTGTTACTGCTAGGTTATGATTCATTCTGCTGGTGTTTAAAAAGCTGTTCACATCTGGGTCTAACTTAGACCAGAATTATTCTAATACAGTGTAATAGCCTGATTGTGGATAATAGAATTTGATGGAATCCATCTTTTTTTGGACCAGTGTTTGTCTCTATAAGGTGGCCTGTATAAGTACTAGGTGATGAAGATGGATAGATGTTTTAGCTTGTTTTGAGCACATTTATGGTGAGTTTTGTGGTATTATTATGCATTCTTATGTAGGTGATTCACTGGATCAGACTTAACATTGGTTTATAATGCACACAATATGGTCTTTACTGCATATATTGGTCATAATTTTCTGTGTCTTTGGGCTGGAGTATATTGTAGTATTGTGTGCCACATCTTAATGATGAGATGGCATTATGAAGAACAGTGTTGTTATTCTCGTCTTCCATTTCAGCTGATGGTATGCAGCTGTGTTGACTTGCAGAATTATATGAAAAATTAGAGTTGGCTTGGTCCTTTGGTGCAACCATTAAAATATATATATACTAGTACTAGTATGTATTTCTTGGTAATGCAGCCCCCCCCCTCTCCTCCTTCTAGTCCAGTTTGATGGAATTTCAAAGTAAATTACTGGCACTGCTGCCTGTCTGTTTAAGAGACATTGCATATTTTTCTTAATTATAATAGGTGTCACATCATTAGAAATTAGTATGACATATGCCACATTAAGCAAGATGGATCACAGTAGGTGTGAGTGAAGAGATATATCTGTAGGCAAAGCCTAGCGTATCACCCAGAGAATACCTCCTGTTGTTTTAGCCAAATCTTTGCAGGACATTTATGCGTACCTCGCTAAGCCTTTCCAGGCCGTGTTTTATAAAAGCTTTCAAGTTAAAAACCAGTCTTGGGTCAGCCTGCTGGGTATCTTACTACTTATTTAAAAATTATACATTCCATAATGATAATGAAGGGTACCTTGTCTCCTTTATTTTCAGTCTGTTGATTAGCCCTTTGAGCAAATCCAAATTACATTGGCATTTTTACTCATACTGATGACTGCTACCATCTCTTCAGGTAGGATAGCTGTGTTGATTTGTGACTAATTGTTTGCAAAACTTCCTCATAACATTGTCACTGAATTATAAATCAGCAATCCAACTTAATCAGCTGGGATGAAAACTTGCATTTTAATGAGGAGGAATTAAAAGATTGAGAGAAAATAGAAATCTATGCAGTTGTTGGTCATTGTAGTAAAAATGTCATCTACACTGTGTGGATTTGCAGGGAGAGTTTAACTTAGCTGAAAAAGTTAGATTTTTATTTCATTGTTCCAGGTTGGTCAGAATGCACACACTATATTATAGACATTGATCCCTGGTCACTGAGATTTTTGAATAAATCAGCTTTTTCATTTCCTTATCACTTCGTTCAGTATCAGTACCGAAATCTCCGCAACTTCCTCTGTGGTGGGATTGATGACAAGAGATTAAGAGAGTTGACGTTATAGCTTTAAGTGGCACATATTATTACTAGTAGCTTTGTCCATTTTGGTTCAAACTTCTTCATGGTCAAAAAATTTTGGTTTTTCTCTTTACTCTCTCTCTCTCTCTCTCTCTCTCTCTCTCTCTCTCTCTCTCTCACACACACACACACACACACACACACACACACACACACTTTTTTAAGCTGAGAGAAAAAATGACAAATACACAGACCACTATTTCCCAAATGCAGTCAATATTTCATTTCTCCATAACTTTGTTACAGAAGCATCATACTGGTGTTTTCTGTCGAGTGACATGCAGTTATGCCATTAAGAATAGAATCACATCTAATGATGCCATCAAACTGCAGTTTGGCAGGGAATAAAATTCAAATTGGTCTTTTGGTCGGGCTGTATTCACTGCAGGGGGATGTAAGTGAATTGAAAATGAGACTTGGGGGAACTGAAAATACTAGCAGTTGCATTTTCTTTGAATATTCACAATGTTGCTTTGGATGATAGCAACCATGAAAAATGTGCTATGATGATTGGTAATGGTAAATGAGTGCCAACAGAACGTGGTAATGATGATCAAATTAACAGAAAAGCTGTCTCTGATTATTGTTATTATTATTAATAGTACTTACTTACTAGTAGTAGCTTAGTGTTACTATATAAGAAAGAAATCCTGAATGTTACTCTTGTTTCACACTAAGATGAAATGATGAACTTCTTTCAGTCACAATTGCTGAGAAGTTTAGCTTTTGCCAGATCAAAATGCAAGATTTCTCAAGCCAAATTAGAAGTATTGCTTTTTTTTTTTTTTGGAAAAATAGAGTGATTTTTTAACCCATGTGTACTAGTAGTTGACCTGACAAAGAAGTAAAGGGTGTTACTTTATTTATAGTATTACTGTACATTTTTTTTTTTCAGCAGCAAGTCACCATAAGCATGAAGAGATAGCAAGCACCTTGTAGTCCAAAGAAGTAACAAGCAGTTAGTAAGTAGCGTAAATGTTTTTTTTTTTTTTTTTTTTTTTTTTTTTTTTTTTTTTTTTTTTTTTGGACGCATTTCATTTGTTTTTGTCTCTAATACAGCCACTGCCTATCAAATAATGCCAGTTTAGAGACCGGAGCCTGAATTACAGGATTATGCAATTTTTTTTTTCTTTTTTGTCACTCATGATCAGAGAAAAACATCCTTGATATTAGAAGAGAATCTGTGCTCCTTTAGAGACAGAATTCCTCCATGAAGATGGCTGAGAGCAAGTTGTTGATTTCATCTCAGTCATTTACTAGTATAAACATCTGTGCTTCATCATGTATGAGGTGCATGTAAATTCTTTTCACATTTTCATCTAACACGATATTTGTCATTGTGTCTTCTTCATACCCAGCTAGACAACATATGCATCATATATCTCCATTACTAATGTTATCACAGGTGTCTTGGACACAGAGTAAATGTATAGTCATATAGTTTGTATTTTTTCCTTGGTGTGATAAGCTGTAAGAGAAGATTTTTTTTTTTCGCCACGTGTTTAGTTTAATGAAACATGAAGAAAACGGAGAAGCATTCCTTTAAACATTACCACAATAATTCTTGCAAGATTTTTTATTGCATCTGGATTCTTTTAGGTGGAAAAGCATCTCTTTTGATGGAACCACAATGACAGTAGGATGTTTTTACTAGTATTACATCTGGGCTCTCTTTATGTGTATATTATGACAGTTTTCTTATTGGGGGTTGTGATTTTTCTCCCCAGAATGCTCCATTCTTATATTTGCTCACAGGGCACTATTGTGGAAAAAATGTCTTTTGTAACAAGGGCATTTGTGACTGAACGAATGCAGGTGGGAATTTCAAAGATAGGAATGACAGGGGTCGAAATAGACGGTCGTCACTCGTAAATTCCAGATAGTGAAAGCACGGGGACGACCCATTCAATGACTTGTTGAATAAAGGACATTCTTCTCATGTCAAGTATATATATATACTAGTAGTATCCCCATACCATTTTCTTACAGAAGGGAAGGAAAAACTGTGTGTGTGTGGGGGGGGGGGGAGATCTTTCAGCAATAGATGGCTGAATAGAGCCAAAGCCCCCTTACATACCACACTGCACACACCAACCACAAATAAATGGTCTAATCTACCGTGACCACCATGTTAGAGAAAGACGGAGGGAGGACAAGGACAGGAGAATCTGACCACATAACATAAGCTTAACTGTGATCTCTCAGAGATAGCCACTGTTCCCCCTCCCAAATTAACTGTTTCACTGCCCCACCCTTGTAATTATTCCTTAATTATAAGACCTGTTATTGTCCCTCACCTGTAATATCTCATGTTGACCTTGTGTTAATAGGAACACAACACAGATGGACCAGCTAGATTAGATATAAATGACTTGTAATGGATGAAAATTTTGGGAGCATTTTGACAGTTGACTGATTTGGTAGGATCTGGGTGGTGCTGGATGGGTTGGAGACAGATGTTGTTGTCTATATTATATAAGAGGCTGGAGTAGAGCTGGCAATGTTTTCTCTTAGCCAAATATTTTTTTTTTCTTCATTTTTTCTCCAAATGGTTTTAATTCAATCAAAACAAGTCAAATCAACCATTTTTTCTTTAGCCAACTAAGGTCAGTTTTAGCATTTGGCTAAATTGGCGAGTGTCAACGTTACCCCAGAGAGGAAATGCAGTACAGACATCCCTTCTGCAGGTGTCCCTCTCCTGCCGCGCCCCC